CCCTCTCGCACTCATGGGGCGTCGCGTGGGGGAGCGAGAGAGACAGCGTCAGAGGCACTGCTCGGAATCAGCCCGCAGGCCGACAAGGCGGTGGTCTAGGCCAGGCGCCCACGCCGCAAAAAATGGTAGCGCGTGGAATCGATATGACTTGAGAGCAAAAGTAGCGAGGGGAGGGGGAGGGGGACCGCCCCTGAGCCAAACACGTGGGGCCGGAGGGACAGCAGCAGACGCCAAGCAGACGCGCGGCGCACAGCAGCCCGATGTCGGCCAGTGCGCCACGACGGCGGCGACACGCGAGACAAGGTAAACAGAAACCAAGTGGCTCCAGTCACCGCACCGCGGCCAGCTTCCAGACGTTCGAGATCTTCGAGGTTCGTGCGCAGTCCAGTCCGGTTCGCGGAAAGCGAGCTAGTTGCCGCCAGGACGGGAGGAGAGGCCCGCGGTAATGAGTGGTCATCTAATTGGGCGGGGCGGGGCGGGGGGGCCGCCCCAGGACCGAAACATTCCACCGGCCGACATTTGGCTCGTCATGCAGCAGCCGGCCCACTGATTTTCCGCACACCGCCGTCGCCGCCCCGTCTCTTTCTCGCGACTCGTGCGGGACGCCCCACACCAGGTGCAAGAGAGAGACAGACGCTGTCCGGGATAGGCCAAGCCGTCGTAGACTCGAGCGAGGACAATTAATAAACAATGCCGGTTAACGAGCAAATCGACCGCGAGCATGCAGCGATCGTATGCCGGACTTCTGGACCGCGTCCAGACGGCCTGCCGGCCTGCCTGTGGCTTCGGCTTCGGCCTTTAGCTCGCCGGCGGGGCGACGCGAACACGCGACGCGAGTCAGAGCGTCACCAGCACCGAGCGCGGCAGCAGCGCGACCCGTTCCAGGAAGCACCCGTTGCACCTCGTGCCAAATGGACGATGCCCGGGAAGCGGGCGAAGCGGGCCCCCACCCCGCACACCTGTCTTCTATGCTAATGCGCGGCACTCTCCCGGGGGACAGACAGACAGACAGACAGACACAGACACACACACACACAGACACACAGACACACACACACACACACACACACACACACACACACACACACACACACACACACACACCGGGAAATGGGTCCGGCAAACGGCGACGCGGCCACGCGCGCTACGCGGCGCTACGCGGCGCTACGCTACGACACTCACTTGAAGAACGTGAGGACCTTGCCCAGGTCCCTGAAGGCCTCCCTGGCCGTGCCGAGGGCCGTGCCGAGGACAATCCTGGCGCTGGGCAGGGCGAGGCCGTGGTGCAGGCCGTGGAGGCCGTACGCCAGGCCGTGCGCGAGGCCCTGCAGGCCCTGCAGGCTGCGCCGCCTCCTACCGCGCCCCTTCCCCCGCCCGCCGGCGCGCCCCTCGTCCGGAGACATCGCGGACTTGTCAGTGGTGCGGCGGCATGCTGCCAGGCATGCTGCCAAGCGGAGAGCAAGCCAGGCGTCAAGCAGGCGCGTCAAGCAAAGCCTGCCTACCCTCAGACGGAGAGCGCGACGGCCTCGACGACGGCCTCGGCGACGGGACGACGCGGTGCAGCAGACGACGCGGCGGCAGACGGCAGCGCGACCAGACGGCGGCAGACGACGCGGCACCGAGCGCTGACCAGACACGACTGGGGCTGGGGAGCGGCCCGGCGTGCGGCGCGCGCCGCGCCGTGGGGGCCGCCTTGCCCGCCCAGCCCGCCTCGCTGGACGCGGCTCCAACCTGGCTGGGGTCTGGGGGCCCCGCGGAGGGGCGCGGGGGGAGCCCCCCCCTCCCCGAGCCGCCAATTAATCGCAACCGAGTCGCGCCACCCACTCGCGAGGGGGTCTTAAATGGATTCGCACTCGTCCACCGCGCCGCGGACCAGAACGCTGCGCACATCGTCTTCGCCGTCTTCGCCCACGCCCGGCCGGCCGATGAGTCCCGAGACACGCAGAACGCGTCGCCAGGACTGGCGCCCGCGGCCTCGGCCCCTGTCACCAGGCAAACCCGCAGGACACGCGTGTGCGCACGTTGCCTACCGCCACGGCGGCCTAGGCGCCTGTCACTCACCGGGTAGGCAAACCCGCAGGACACGCGTGTGCGCACGTTGCCTACCGCCACGGCGCCTCGACCCTGAGGCGTGGCGCGTCGCGTGCGAGAGAGACAGAGCGACGAAAACGGCTCTCGGAATCAGTGTGCTGCGCTTTGAGCCCTGCGGTGCAGCGACACCCCCACCACCGTGCGCCTGGCTGGAGCTGGACAAGCTGGACCCACAAGGGGGAGGGGGCGTCTCCTTCGCATTCCTCCAGTGACGTCAAACGTGCGTCAGAGCGGCGTGCCCCTCCGGCCTGCCGCCACCCCCTTCCAGCGCACCCTCTTCCAGGCTTGCCCCGGCCAGGCTTGCCCGGGCTTGGCTTCCGCTCCGCGCCGTCCTTCGAGTGAGCGCCGCGCCGCCGCGCCATGACATGACTCCATATCCCCCTGGCAGGCACTCTGCAGCTCCTCGGGTACATCCAGCGAACGCGCGCACACACACACAAACACACACGCGCGCGGACGGACGCACACAGACGCACAAACACAGACACACACACACGCGCGCGACGGCATACTATGCGCCACGCGACAGCCGGAAGACCTTGGGGCGCTCACTGGGCACTGCCTGCCCTGGCAGCGCATCGCCACGCATCGCCTGGCGTTGGTTGGCAGGGCCCGCGTCGGCCTGCCTCTGCCTCGGTCGCGTTCGCGTTTGTTTTCTTTCTCTCCTTCCTCGGAACTGCGGCCGCGGATCGCAGCGAATCGCAGCGAATCGCCGCCAAGTGCCGCGAATAACGGAAGGAGCGCTCATCAGCCTACTTAGGCGACGGCACGGACGGCACGAGCAAGGCGGCGTGCATACGATAAACAAAGGAGCGGCGGCGGCGCATATCTTGACGCCATCTGCGCACGTGCGCCGCGTGCGCGTACCAGCGCACACGACCACACTCACGTGCCCTCACACACACACACACTCGCACACAGACGCGGGCGGTCCTTCGCCGTGCCCTACATTGAGCGGATGCGCAGCGGGCCGCGCATCAAAGCGAAGCCGAGCGAGGCGCAGTGCGGCGCACGGACGTACACCGCGGCGGTCCAAGGGCGTCCCGCTCCGCTAATCAGAGCGATGTGCGTGTGTGTTGGTGTGAGCGTGTGTGGTTCGGCACGTGGCGCGGCACACACACACACACACACAAACAAGGCCTAGTGCGCAGCGCGGCAGGGAGGCGGCGCGGCCAGCAGCCAGTGGCAGTAGCGTAGGCGGACCAGGACCTGCCAGCAGACTGATTCCGAGAGTTCGTCATTTTCGTCGCTCTGCCTCTCTCGCCCTCACGGGGCGTCCCGTACAGGATCGAGAGAGACACTCGGGCCAGACTGGCTGGCTGGCCCGGGGGCGACGATGAGGGAAAGCGGACTGGGGGTGGCGGGGTCGCTGCGACGGCGACGCGTCGCGGCGGTGTCGAGAGTCTCGGGGAGCGGAAGTAACGAAATTGGTGCGGAGGGCTGGCCGTCAGCCAAGCGGACCTCCAGGCCGCCCGGCCCCGCGCCGCTCGTCCCCGGGGGACAGGCAGGCAAGGCAGGCCGCCGCCCCGTCATACAGAGAAATCACGCACAGGGCAGCCGCGGGGAAAACGACGAGCGAGGAGGGTGGGCTGCCACTGCAACGCCCTGCAACGCCCCCGGCGCCGTTAGCTTACAACGGTGTCGGCGATGCGCGAACCGCAGACTGAATCCGAGAGCCGTTTTCGTCGCTCTGCCTCTCTCGCTCTCATGGGGCGTCCCGTGCGGGTGCGAGAGAGACAGAGCGACGAAAGCGACTCTCGGAATCAGCCTGCAGCAAGGCGTTGAGGCAAGGCGCGGTACTGAACCACCACGGCCGGCAGGGCGGCCGAGCGTGATGGCGGTAGGCCTGGGCGATTATTGGTTGTAATCGTAATCGGCCGATGAATAAAATAATCGCGATTGGTGTCGATTAGCAGTTCGGTAGTCGGTAATCGAAAACGTACACGATTAATCGAAAATCAACGATTAATCGGGGGAAACCGATTATTTGGAAATTGACAAACAAAGGTTAGGTACTATTGTGTACTATTGTGTTAGGTTAGGTTAGGTACTATTGGTACTATTGTGTTAGGTACTATAGGTACTATTGTATGGTACTATCGTACTATTGTGAAAATAGCATGCAATAAGAGGATAGGAAGACCGTTGGCGCAACCTCGAGTGTCTGAGACAGGTTTTTGGTGCCTTAACTGAAAACTTTTCAAGACTTTTCCGCTCAGAATTTGAACAGGTGATGGATAGAATATCCGATAATGAGACGATTAATCGATAATCGATCATCGTTATATAATCGGTCAATCCTTCGATTACCGAACCACTAATCGGGGGTTTGAAATAATCGGACGATTAACAAAATAATCGCGATTATTTTCGATTATTCGATTAATCGCCCAGGCCTAGATGGCGGTCATCATCGCGGTGCGCAGCGCAGCGCGGGGGCGTCGTCGCGGGCCTCGCGACGGAGAAGCACACTGGTGTGTTTCCGACCGGGGGACCGGCGCGGACCGGGGTCAATGGGACGAAGCGCGGGGCGGCGGGGCATCGCGTAACATCGCCGCCCGCCGCCCCCACCCCCGCACTGCCCCGGAACGAGGAAAAAACCCAGACGGAAACTTCAACGCGCGGGGTATCGCCGCGCGGGGAATGCTAGCATTCGCGCGCAGTGCAGCACAGTGCACTCTACACGGCGTATCGATGGAAAAAGAGCTGACCCCGTCGCTACCCCGTGCCCTCGGGGTCCCCATTGAGCGGGGCAGCGCGTCGCCACGAGAAAGGTACCTTTTCCCTGCACCCGCCACTCAAGTTCAAGTTAGAAGTTCCAACTGAGCTCACATCCGCGCACTGCCAACGCCTAGTCGTCTCTCCGGAAAAAGCGGCACCCGGAGATCCACCAAGTCAATGTCACTTACCGTTCCGTGGTGGGGTCGGCCGAGTTGAGGGGGTACTTGAGCTCGATCACGTCGCCGTTCTTCTCGCGCAGGTGGTTCTCCATGTGGTACTGGACGAGCTCGGACAGGGTGGCGAACTTCTCGCCGCCGTACAGGTCGTAGAAGTCGCCCGTGTTCTGGATCTTGATGTGCGTCACGTCGCCGTTCCGCCTGCAGGCAGTCGGGCAGACAGTCAGGCGGGCAGACACTCGCAAATAGGGTAACTCGAGACAAAGCGGCAGGGGGACCGCAGCGAGGCGCGGCGAGCATAGAGGCGAGCGGGAAATTCGAGCCCGCCACGCTCTCGCTGCTCTGTCTCTCTCGCACTCGTGGGGCGTGCCGCAAGGGTGCGAGGGAGACAGAGCGGCCTGCAGCACCGCCAGCGGCGCCAGCGGGTCAAGCCAGCCAAGTCCGCAACTAGGTCAACCCGAGTCATGGCCTTGGCCGACGCTATCACCGCCGAAAGACAAACACAAAAACAAATCAAACAAACGGAGCGAAGCGCCAAATTCAAAAAATCAGCCAGACCTGACGGAGAGCGTGAAGTCCCCCGCCGTGGAGCGGCTCGGCCTCGCCAGGAACGAGCCGTCGCGGCCGCGCTCCATGAGCAGCACCTCGGCGTCCACGCCGCTGATGTTGGGGTGGAACCATCTGCAACAACAACAAGCTCGCCGTCAAGCAGACTGAAAGTCGTTTTCGTCGCGCTGTCTCTCTCGCACCTGGACGAGACGCCTCGTGAGTGCGAGAGAGACAGAGCGACGAAAAAGAATCAGTCTGCTGGCAAAGTCGCCCGCGGAAACGCCCCAGTGGCGGGGACACTGTAAGTGGAAGGCAACCCGAGAACCGCGAGCGGGGCGGAGCGGGGCGGGTATTACCTGTGGGGACATTTAAAGGCAACAACGGCAGCGATGTTCGGCGTACTTTCCGAAAGGCGAAGTTACTACACTGTTTTGCCCAGGGTGGGCCGGGCCGGGCCGGCAGGCGGGCCGCTCGTTCGACGACCCCACGGCAAGACGCGGCGCATGCAGGGGAGTGTGGGCCGCGGGGGGCGGGGCGGGCCGGGCCGGGCTTGGCGAGTGATGGACGCGACAGCGAAATGAGGGGAGGATGACGACGACCGAAAGGCACTGAGAGGACGCAAAGGTAAAGGACCCCGCGGACCACATCGCCTCCGCCACGCCGCCGATTGATTCCGCGAGTCCATTTCGCCGCTCCGTCTCTCTCGCTCCCCATGAGTGCGAGAGAGACAGAGCGACGAAAACGACTCGCGGAATCTGTCTGGAGCACGCAGGTGTCACGGGGCGGGCACGGCAGGGCGCGGCGCGGAGCCGCGTGGGTGGACAAGGCACGCCACAGGCACGCCAAGGTCTCGGTCAAGACGCACAGCCCATCCCGGCTCGCGGCGCCCGGCCCCGCCCGGCCCCGCCCGGACCACCTGATTCCGAAGGATCGCCGCGTCGCTCTGTCTCTGTCGCACTCATGGGGCGTGCGGATCGAGAGAGACGGAGCGACGAAACGATCCTCCGGGATCGGTGTGCAGACGGAGACGATGATACAAAGGGGCACGCCCCGGCTTCCACTCGGCGCGGACGGCCCGTCGGCCTGCCCGTCGGCCCGACGGCGACGTCCCACTCCTTCACCAACACCCGGGGGCTGGACCAGGGGGTGGCAACGGCCGAGGCGGCGCGTGAAACGATGCTCCCCGCTCGGGCCGGCGAGCGACGAGCGGCCGACCGCTGTGCTTGGTGTCACTAAAATCAACATAACTTCATCAAAACTTCATCAAATTGAAAAACCCAGGTCATTTTCAGCATCTACACAAAATTTCCTATTTGTATGTAGTCATGGTTTACAGTTTTAGACCCGTTCAAAATGTTAAATCTCAATTTATAATCAAATTTACCGGCAATTTTAGCCAATTCAATATTTTGCAACGACGATAAAAGTTATTTCCGTTCGTTTTAGGTCCATACATGCAGCGAGCCGATTGTTGGCCTCCACTTCCCCTATTGCGTAAGCATACTGGAATGCCGATACGACATCTGTGACGGTCACGGTGGCCCATAATGTAATTTGCAAAATTAGACCAAAAGCAGTTAAACTGACTTTGGGAATATTTTTCGTAGCTCTTTCGCACTTGTTTATCGTTCTGCAATAGCCTATACCACGCAGAATTTAATTCTCTATCGCCCTGTGGTAACGGTTTTTCAAACGGACGTTTCAGTTTTCACATTTCGAATTAGTTTTAAAACACTGCAAACTAACCCTAAAAGTACACGTATTTGGTAAAGCTTCACTTGAAGAAACTAGGTGTCGTATCGCAAATCTGACTTCACCACGTTGTAGAGCGGACAATTCTACATGCCCCCGTCAAGTTTTATCACAATAGGTTGATTAGTTTGATGACAGCATTCAATTTTCGGCAACTATGACGACATAACCGCCGCAGCGATTTCTCATACTTGGGCTGCGTGACCCGACTCGTCGCCAAGCCCAAGCGTCGTCTGCCTTTTGAAATATCTTTGAAGCATTCAAACCAATCAACCGATTGTGATGAAACTTGACGGGGGCATGTAGAATTGTCCGCTCTACAACGTGGTGAAGTCAGATTTGCGATACGACACCTAGTTTCTTCAAGTGAAGCTTTACCAAATACGTGTACTTTTAGGGTTAGTTTGCAGTGTTTTAAAACTAATTCGAAATGTGAAAACTGAAACGTCCGTTTGAAAAACCGTTACCACAGGGCGATAGAGAATTAAATTCTGCGTGGTATAGGCTATTGCAGAACGATAAACAAGTGCGAAAGAGCTACGAAAAATATTCCCAAAGTCAGTCTAACTGCTTTTGGTCTAATTTTGCAAATTACATTATGGGCCACCGTGACCGTCACAGATGTCGTATCGGCATTCCAGTATGCTTACGCAATAGGGGAAGTGGAGGCCAACAATCGGCTCGCTGCATGTATGGACCTAAAACGAACGGAAATAACTTTTTTCGTCGTTGCAAAATATTGAATTGGCTAAAATTGCCGGTAAATTTGATTATAAATTGAGATTTAACATTTTGAACGGGTCTAAAACTGTAAACCATGACTACATACAAATAGGAAATTTTGTGTAGATGCTGAAAATGACCTGGGTTTTTCAATTTGATGAAGTTTTGATGAGGTTATGTTGATTTTGGTGACACCGTGCACAGTGGTCGGCCGCGCGTCGCTCGCCGGCCCGAGCGGGGAGCATCGTTTCACGCGCCGCCTAGGCCGTTGCCACCCCCTGGCTGGACGCACGGCTGGACCAAACCGGCTGGCACGAGCCGCCAGGGGTCACCTCGTCTCGCAGTCACCGCGCCGCCGACGTATCGACGGCTGTGTGTGTGTGTGTGTGTAGTTGGGAGGTATGGAGGGGGAGTACAGTGGGCCGCCGCGGCATACCGTCCATCATTTCGCTCGCGCCATTTGTTCTTCCATTTATCACTCTGTGTGTGTGTGTGTGTGAGTGTGTGTGTGTGCGAGGCGACCGCAGAGTCGCGCCTCCGCGTCCAGGTCTTCCCCTTCCCCCTTCTCCGCCTCGACCAGATTTCCGTCGCGTCAATTTAGCGCGACTCGCGGTCGTGTCGTCCGCGGACCGCGGCGTACACTTGCGTTGGGCTGCGCTGGGCTGGGCCACAGCCAGACGGGCGGAAACCCAATCAGAGGCCCTAGCCGGCTTGGGCGGGCTTGGCCGCTTGCAATCCACTCCGCCCGACTGGGTCAACGGCCCTACCGCACATCATGCGCCCCGTGTGGCCGCCCAATGGCCCGGATGGCGCACGGCGCGGCGTGGCGGCGCGTGGCGGCGGGCTGGCACCGTGGCCCACCGTGGCCTCCGGAGCAAAACAACAGCCGCCCACGCCCTCCTGGTCCCTGCCCTCGCCACCACGTCGCCGTCATCGAGCTCCGGAAGAAATTGCGTCTCGGCCAAACGCCGCCCTGCGGCCTACAATTCGGCACATCTCAAAACTTATTATTTTTTCAAGTTTTCATTTTTGTAAGAAACTGACGAGGCAATCTTTGGAGCACTAGAAGGAGGCATAGTTGCTGGTTCCACTTCCTTCCTTTACGTATATCGTCGGGAATGCGACAAGACGCCTGAGAGGGAAGGCAAGAGAATGGCATCGAAGCATATGTGGGCAGCGCAAACGGATTACCGCGAAGTGAATGTCTAATGTTTTCGACGCAGAATGCAGACGAGGACGCGAGTGGAGTGGACGCAGTGCGTCGGACGGCCGCGCCGTTTCCGCAGAATGCAGCAGAATGGCGCGCCAGGTCGCCGGCAGTGCCGCCGATTCGTTATTCGTTCGACTGGAGCGGAAACAGCTCATCCCAAGGGCGACTACATCCGCTCCCCCCCCTCCCCCTCTCTGCCTGTCCGTTTTCCCGAGTTCAGGTCGACGACTGAACCCGCCCGACTCCATAACAGGCCTTCAAACCAAAGGTTCTTTCTTTTGCCGAGGCGCCCTCAGCGCGTAATTTCTTCACGATGGAATGCCGCGACCGCCGCGACGTCGCGTCGTGTTCCAAGGCGCCAGTTGGGTGGCCTACCCGCCGGGCGGCGCGCGGACGGCGGTACGGCAGCGCGGCCGACCGGTCCTCGCCTCGCCCCGCATCCCCACATTGCCCGTTCGTATTTTTGGACGGCAAGAAGGGTCGGGTCGGGTCCTGCCAGAGGCGGCCTAGGCGGCCCCAGGGGGTCCTGCCTGTCGGGGTTCGCCGCCTGCCGCCCGTTTCCCGCTTCGGCAGAAGGCCAGCCAAAGGCCAGCCAAAGGCCAGCAAGGTCGACCGAGGATTGAGGCGCGGTCCGGCTGACCAGAAAGGCCCCACCAAAACGTGCTCGATTCCACCTTGGTCCACATTCACGTGAGGGATGAATGCACGCAGCCCCTCCTGGGCAGGCGTGGATAAAGGAAGGGGGATTTTGCCCCCCCCCCTTTTCTCCGCACCGAGATAGGTAGGCATAAGGGCGTACTTTGCCCCTGATAGTAGGCAAAAATGCCCCCTCCGTGGACCGCTTCTGGATCCGCCTCTGCCCCTGGGCCGCATGCTGTTGTCTGCTAACATTTTGATTTATGTAAGAGAGAGATACAGGGAACCACTCACCCTCGAGCCCGTCGTCCTGTCGAACAGCCATACATGCTGGGTCCTGAAAATAAATGTTGAACAACTGTTTATTGACAGAAATGACAGTTTGGTTCAGTGGCTCAGTTTCTTATTACAAACTTCAATTCGATTACTGAATTTAAATTCATAACTGCCCATAGCCTGGCATAACAAGTTACCTTCAGGACTGTTCTGAGAAAGGTCTTGGATCTTGTTGTCCTCCCTCCCGCTCTCGAGGTGAGCCCTGCAAAAGACAAAATACACCATAGTGGCTACAATGAAGTCAAACCAGTCCAACACTAGACCTCATGCAGAACATTAATCAAAAAGATGTTAAAGATAAACACTACAACAATACACTAAAAGACTGTGATTACAAGTGAACATGCGATGTGTACAACAAGATTAATATTTTAGAAATATAACAGAAATCTAAACTTTTGATTCATGAAGAAAATAGTTTTTAATCAGATCCCAACTAATCTAAAGAAAACAAAGAAAATAATCATAAATGTAAAAAAAAAGTCCGAACCAGTCCTATTTCCAGCAGTTCCTCAAGATAAAGTGCTCGATCAACAATATCAGCCACAACCCTACCACGAGAAAAAACAAACTTTCTATTAAATACTACAAACAATTTGGGGACAACCATCCTAATTACCTTTACTTTGCCAAGGTACTCAATGGGAATATCAGGAACACTTCCTGAAAATCACGAACACAGCTTTCACCCGTTTTTACAACACAGTAGAAAACATAACCTGGTTCATACAATTTCTTGGAAACAGAAAAGCTGTAATTGAAAAGCTGCTGTGTTGGATTTCAATTAGCTGCCATTCAACTTCACACAATTGGTCACAGGAAACTCCAATGAGATTCCTGTTAGAGGCTGAGTTTGGTGGCAGAGTCATGGATTTTGAACTAAACAAATGGGAAAAGGGGGAGTTTGGGGACGGTCGGAACCAACATTCGTCGCTTCGTAACCTTCAAATCAAATTCGTGATGCGAAAGAATCACAGACGACAATACCTCTCCACAGAAGATGGTGCGCACAAGTTACGTTTACAAACGAAAAGTATTAAATTTTAACAAGACAACCATATGAAGGAAACACGAAAAGATGGACAACGAGCGCACTAGGGCTAGACACGTCTCACTTTAGAGAAAGTCGAGGCGTGGAATCCCATATTTTACTGAAAATTAACTGACCTCTTGTCAAGAAGTCCGTGGAGAATCTTCCGAATCATTCAAGCGGATGTTGATTGAAAATTCATAAAAAGACATCTCGTGACCGAACGCGAGCACAAGCCTAGTTGCCATCCATTTTCCCTTTGCTTTGCCAACACGCAGGGACAGACACACCACAAACCACGGGCGTCTGCTAGCTACCTGCCCTACCTCAACTTTTCCGAGAGTCGCGGCCACAACAAAGTCGGATTAAGCTTAAGCGAGAGAAGTGACGCGGGTAAAATCAAACAGAGTACCAGCGCCCTGAAAATTTTACCAGAAAATCAATAAAGGGTAGTTCTAATTTTTTTTGGGAGAGTTTTTGGGAAATGTGACATAAATGTGACAGACGGAGACGGAATACCGCATTCAGCGGCGTGTATCATGCAGGATATGCTGTGGAAACAGCATCGGTAAGAAGTTTCGTTCGAGAATTTTAGAATGAGTTAGGTAAGTGTAACGTTATTTCACAGGACGATACTTTCAACATTTAAAACGGGAATGAGATCTCTGAAATTTTCATACAGCTGTTGCGGGGTTCCAACGTGAGTTTGTCATACTCCGGCCACACAAACCTAACTGTACTAAGTTGGTTTACCAAAACAGTCGTTATTTCGTGTAGATCGAAGAATCGTACTCTTTTTAATATTATTTTATTAAGTTAATTTATTTATTTCCTGTGAGATAGAACTACCACCGATTGCGTATGTTGAGTTGAACGTCCACGAAGCCTGCAGTTGGCTATGCTGGCATGCTCTTCATGCAAGTTCAAACTTGTCGATTTGTTGTTGATGTTGTTGTTAGCTCGTGATGTGATGCATTTTTGTGACGATTTGGAGCAACTTCGGGGTTAATGTCTCTGCCATCTGGAAAGCACCGTTATGTCGCAGCTCTATCAGTATTTTTGTGATGGCTTGCGGAACCGGAGTAGTACTTTACTATCCAGTACGTTCATCACGAGCACCCCCCTCGAAGAGGACGATGGAGAAGCCGGCCCTGGTCCTTGCCCCGACCCTGGCCCCGCCGCCAGCCCAAGCATCGCCAAGCTGCTGCAACGGAACAATTCGCAATCGCAGTCCGATCATGAGGAACTTGAGAAAGACAAGGGGACAGAGAGCTCAGTGCAGGGCCAGGTTGGAAGTGCTACCGAGAGCCCCCCAGCCGATGATCAAGTCGATGGTATGCGTTCACCAGTTCCAGCTGTCATGTCGATGGGATTGCAAAGATTGCAAGCGACCCCCGAAGTAGTGCCCAGTCAGAAACAACAAGTCGAGGACGGTTCGGAAAACCTACTCAATGCATCTCAACATTCAAGACACGCAAGAGAACGTAATGATGATGTTTCGTCTGTGGACTTTGTTGATCGCATCATTGCTGCGAAAAGACGTGATGATGCCAGGAAACCAAAACGCCCTGCTAGATGCTCCACATCGACTGATGAATCACAGCCTCAGCATGATGAACCTGTGATCAAATCGAGAAAAGTCAATGACTGTGGCAATGACTCTGACTCCAGTGAAACAGACTATGAAGGCGCCTCAGAATATTATAGAAGTCGTCAGACTCAAAACTCCACCTGTCAACCAAACTCGTCGGGACAGAATAAAAATTTACCAAAGAAATCAAGTCTAAGCGGTAATGAAGAATCGAATATGCAACTTGTCTTGGAATGCATTTCATCCGAAAACTCATCACCATATTGTTCACTGAATCGAAGCCAGAACTTGGAGGATGGTAGTGTACTTTTGCCATCTGCAGCAAGATGCAGAGTTTACATAAGGTTCAAAGATGGCAAAGGCAAGTCATCAGATTGTCAGCCGGATCCTTTGCCGCAAAATGACCATCAAGGTAGATATGTGTCAATGTTTATTTCTTTTGTCTTCTAATTATATTTTAGGTCCTGATCGTGTTATTCTTTTGTGCACATTTTTTCAATGGTGTGTTTTCTCCTCCAGGAATCGAAACTAGGACTGCCAAAGTAGTTTTAACTGATATCCTTAATACTCAGCAAGCTGGCATTGCTACTGCAGACACAAACATTTCCAAGTCAACTGCTGTCTTGAATGGTAAACCTTTTTCATGGTTATGGAAAATCCGAAATAATCTTACCATGTCTTCTTTCCTTTTAAAGGTTTTACCTGTTTGGTGCAATTTTGTGGTGACCATGCTTTTCCTTTTGCCAGGTGTAACAGCATATGTTGAAGTAAGATCAGGACATGACAATAGGTCAATGGGTGTTAGGACCCAGCTACGTAATCTAGGAGCAAGAGTTCTTGATAAATTAAGCACAGAGGTAAATTGTTGTCTTTTAAAAATTAAGAATACAGATGTGAGGATATTTATTAAGTGGTTTGCTTTTCTTTCTTTTTGGGGGCAAGGCTGTGCGGCTAAAAAGTATTGGGTAAATTAATTTTTTTCAAACTAATTAAGTGGGAGAGCTTTTTGTCCTCAGGTCACTCACGTTGTATTTAATGAAGGTGCTCCAAGTACATTGCGGAAAGCCCAGAAACAAGGATGTCACCTTGTTTCAGTTCTTTGGATTGATGAGTGTAAAAAGCATGGAAGAATTGCTCCTGAAGCAGATCATCCACCTTTAGATTTACATTTATATGATGAGCCTGGTGCTTACAGAGTAAGTGATTTGATTTTTCATTGATCAGTGTGACATATATATTTTGATTTGCACCTCTCACACAATTGCTCAATTTCTCAGAAAATGAAATCATTCCAACCTGATTTTGAAGAGGGTAAAGCTGAAGAAAGGCAAAAAAAGCAGCTTAAAAGACTGAAGGCAAGATCACAGAAAGCCACTTCATCCCAAGTAAGTTACTACCTCTGACCATTTAAAATTTTACTACTGAAGAGAGTTGAGTTCTTGACTTAATCTAATTTTTTACCTTCAAGCAGCCGTCAAGCCAAAGCGCACCTTCTGAGGAGGAATCTTCTGATGACGTTTCTGAGGAAACACAGTAAGTGTTGTTAAACACCTGCATTATTTTTTACAAACAAAAAATTTGATGAAAATGAAATTTGATGTGTGTTTCTTTTTAGACCGAATCCAAATATTCCTGATGGTGTTGCTTTAAAAACTTTGAGTATTGTTCTTAAAAGAATTGATGCAATTGACTCTTGTGGAGTTTCAACTCAAAAAAAGAACAAGAGAAAACTTCTACCATTGAAGCAACGCCTTCCAGCTTCTTTATCTTTTGATGACTTTCCAGCAGGTAACTATTAATTATATATAAATAGTGTGAACTGCAAAGTACTGGAATAATTACTTCTTCTTTTCCCTCCTATTAATTTAGATAGAGTAAGACCCCCATTTCCGTACAGTCAGTCTTCTTCCTCACAAAAGAAGAAGAATATTCCTCCAAGGAGGATAGTCAAATATCAGTCCTCCTCATCCCAAAATTTTCGCCGGAGATCTTCTTGTTTTGTAAGAGGCACACCTGGTTTATCTGGGTCCAAACAAAAAAAGGTTAAAGCTAAAATACCCACTATGGTATGCACATTCATGCACCGAAGGTAAGTCCTGGTAACAAAGTTAGTTTATGTTTGTTTTTAGTTTTTCTAAGTTAGCGACAAAACCCTTTGTAATTTTCCAGAGAGATTGATGTTGTTGCTGCTGTGATTAAACAGCTAGGAGGCTGGATTTTAGAGCCAACAGTTTCATCTAGAACCACACATGTTGTGTGTGGTGAAAGCAAAAGAACAATAAATCTATTGAGAGGTATAGCCCATGGATGCTGGATCATCCGTCAGGAATGGGTAAGAGCAATTAAAAAAGGCTATAAAAGAAAAGGTGGAGAGAAGTGAAAAAGCAAATAGAAGTACTGTATGTTTGTGTTGTCTACTTTTCAGGTGCTGAGATCTCTGGAAGCAGGGTATTGGCTGGATGAGGAGCCTTTCGAGCTGACAGAATTCCCAGCTGTACAGGTACCTATGAAATGAGAAACATTTTTGCTGCTCGTGATTGCCTCTTTTTCTTTTCTGAATATCAACAGTAATTTTTGGTTTTCTTTTTAGCAATCTCGAATTGCTCGTGAGACCCTTGGGGCTGCTCCTGACATTTTTAGTTCTGCTGGATGCATTTATGTAAGTAAAGATAGTACTCCCCCCTACTCCGAGCTTACAGATCTCCTTGAGCTATGTGGAGGAAATCTTGTAAAATCAGTGCGTCAAGCCAGAGTGATAATTGGTCCATATCAACGGCGACCTTCTCATACTGATGTTATGCATGTGAAAGAACAGTGGGTTCTTGATTCTATCCAAGAAAACATGTTGCAACCAACAAGGAACTATCGTCTTTAAAATCTGTTATCATCTTTCCTGATAATGCTGTGATATTTTGTTAGTTTATAGTCGAAGTAAGGACTCACTTTTTATTTTGATTGAATTCTTCTTTATTAGTATTAATTAAGTATGCACTGCCATGTAATAATAAATAATAATAAGTGCATACATGAAGTACAAAGTATATGATATAACCTAGTCAAGGTTTGGTAATCTCCTTGGAACATGCATTCATAATATATAATGGAAGGTTATTTAACCTTTATCTTGTAATAAAAATTTGAAATCCTATCTGCTTATAATTAATTGTTTTCCTGATTACTGCAAAGTATAAGAAGGAAAATCTACCCAGTCAATGAATGCACTACTACGCCTTCAAATTATGAGCCTGAACTGAGTGAGGTTCAGCTCAATTTCACCAAAAAAAGGAAATATAGAAAACACAATCACTTTCCTTCAGAAAATAAATAAATACTTACACAAACTAAGAAAGTAAAACGAAGACAACATTTAAATTGATTGGTGCCTTAGAGGGCTAGTACAAAGTATGAAGCAAAAATTTTATCGCATTTTATGCAAGTCACACAGGTTTGATTGAAATAACTTATACAACATGCTGTTACGGGGCTCCAGTAAGCAATGTGATAGGTTGTTGTATTGTGTCACTAGAAGTGGACGTTTCGCCTTAGGTTCATGACAGAATAAACATTGAACTATTTTGGGACTTAGTTTTTGGTGTGGTTCAGACTTGTTTCCATTTGCAGCTGATTTGATTGAAACTTCTTCATTAGCACTGTGGCACACTCCTCTGTCCCTGTTATTTACAGTGCAAGCTGTATTTACATGGTCCTCATTTAGTTTCTGTGGTGGGCTTAAGGTAGCACCAAAGCGTCTCTCAAGTGAAGCATAGGTTTCAGGGGGAGGAGAGTATGAAGGAGATGTGATTCTGTAGAGAGGGGAATAAGACGATTGTGTGCAAGTTATTTCATCATCAGAAACTCTGTCATCTATGTCTGGAATAGTTGGGGGAGGAGTCAGGGGTTTTGATCCAATCAGGTCATCAACAGGAAGGACCTTAAATGCATTCCCTGCAGGCAGCAGGTCAGATGATGTCCTTCTGTCTTGCAACTGGTTGAAGTTTTCATTTTTCACCTAAAAACAGAAGAAAGAAATTGTCATAAAGGAATCCCCTGTAGTTCACCCTGAATCAGTCGCCCATGCAAACCTTGCCAGCCTTCAACGTTTGATCTGTGTTAAAATTTCCTGTGTCTTCTCTCAATGACAGCTCTGTTGCTTTCGTAAGAGGTTGGTGGACTAGATCCACAGGGTCAGAAGATTTTATTGCTAATGGCCTTACCTGAAACAAATCCAAATCAGTTTCAGAACTTACAATGTTGACCAAAGACCTAACTCCTAAAAGTAATGCAGGTGACAAAGGGATAAATAAAGCAAGCCGTACATGCTTCCTTGCATTGTTAGAACTCACATTTCTATCAGTCAGGACATGATTTTTATCTGGGGGAAGTATTCTGTTCAATAATGCCTGACATCTATCTTCAAGTTCAGACCTACAGGACATTCTCCACAGTTTGTCTTGGCCATGAATATCAATAAAAACACCCCATCTAACAACAGGTTCTAGGACACAAGAGATTTAGAAAATGATTAAATGATCTCAAAAATTTACCAAAATAGGAAATAAGCAGCAAGAACATATCAACTCACCTGCTAGTAAGAGTAGAGTTTCCAAGGCGCACCAACTTAAGAAAACAGTGACTTTATCATTTTTACGATTGGGGAAGTCAAGTAACATTTCAACATATTGTTTGCACGACCTTATTTGAATTCTTTCAGGAGGAGTCAGCTCTTGTACTAATTAGATAAAGTTATTAATATTAAATAATTTTGGCAAATATTTACATGGCAGAAGCCTGGAGGCAGTATAATACCTATTTCTTTGGCATGGAGCATGAAGTCATCCATCTCAGGAAGATTGCATAAGGAGTTAAAAATCAAACATGCAACCTGAACCTTGGTTTTCATCCTGTCAAGAAATGTTTTACTTTTCAGAATCTTCACTCCCATTCTTTGAATCTAGAAGAAGTAAAACATGTCAATGTAGAAACTAATGTGTGAAAAGAAATACACATTTACATTATTCCACATTTACCACTTCAAATCTGTGAAAACACTTCATTGCTTCTAAAACTGATGATGTTGTAGGGGGAGGCGGTTCCAAATCTTCACATTGTTGGCTTAGACACACTAAGCACTTGAAAGCTTGTTCTTGAACAGCTATATCCAATTTCCATCTTATCATTAAATCAAGAACAATATGCTTCAAACAAAAACAAAAGTTCAAACAGTTATGGTGAAATTGAAAGTGAGCCTTAGATTAGCTCTAATTTATTGGATTACTGAGTGTACGTAAAAGTAAAATTCTAGATCACACAAAAAGTTCAAAAATTACCAAAATTTTGTTTCCGTCAGAATATTTATTAGGCTCGACCAATTGAATAAAAATATCCTCCAAATACGTTTCTGTATCTTTTGCAGAGAATGAAGAACCATCATCCCCTCTCTGAAGCAGGATTTTCTGCAACATTGAAAGGCAAGATAAATCTTCTGACAATTTAAAACTTTACCAGAAGAATAAGAAAAATTGTGGAATTTTGCCTATAGCATAGGCACTGAAAGATGACCATTATTTGGTACCTCTGTGGGTCTTCGTTGAAAGAGGCTCAATGTGTTGTCAGGGACTCTAAAGTAATCAAACAAGAGATGCAGGTGTAAATCAGTGATTAGTAATGCACAGCAATCTAATGAGCTAACTAAAGTAACTAACTATGAGTCATTGGTGGTATAGCAACACTGAGGGGAATACCTTGACAACTTACTTTGCAATGCTGTAAAACATTTCATCTGGTGGTGGTGGCACAATAGATCGTATGACATTGACCAATTCATTGGGCAGATCATCAGTGCCGTCAGCGCCAATTGCGGGCAGTTGAACATTATCGCATAATACAGATTTATGTAACATCTTCAGGAAGAACGACTGCAACAAATTCAATATTTCCTCAAAAAACAATCGTAATTTTGATCTCTTTTAAAAATCCATGCAACATATAGTAAGAGCCACACAAACTAAACATTGAATAATCAATGCAAGTAATTACAATTACGTGTAATTACAAGTAAGTACATTCTTATTGAGACAGTCAGTGTTGTGGGAACAAACCCAGGTTATTGTCCATCCAGGGGTAATCATATCACATTCGGCAACATGCTGGTATCTCACAGGGAGAGAACGTCAACAGTATCATGAATGGTTAAAACGAAGTGAACACACCTCCACATCTTAACATCGAACCAATCCTGCGAATGGTGACTCATTTATTGACGGGAATATGCGGTGAAAGAAACGCGGCAGCAGCAGACGATCCCACTGCACTGCTCTGCTGAATCAACTCACTCGATGGACACGGCCCGTGGCACGCGACCCGAAACTAGAGAGAATAAACTGGATTGCTTACTAGGAAACTGCAACCGCAACACCATGCCGCCCGAGCATGCAGTCTCGCGAACGTTGCAGATTCATTCACCACACTCAGCACAAAGATCACTTGAACCCGATCGTGTTTACAGAAATTTGAAACCTGAAAACTGCTCCCAACCTACAGGCAGAAAAGATCCCGTTACGCCGTTACCCAGGTGTGAATTTTACTAAACATTACACATAACTGCGAATAAGATGACATACTGGTTACTGAATCACAGCAAAGGGGCTTTCCTGTTTTCATTCAAGTGAGCAAATCAAATGAATTTAACATGTTAGTGTAATATCATGGTAATATGGTGTGTGGCGGCATTGTTATTTGATGACACAAAAAGTGGTCACAAATGGTCATAAAGGCTCTTCTGTCACGTTTAGAAACATGCGAGGGAACACACCCAACATGGCCACGGTTATGAGCAAGCTGTCAACAATTTAGGTGTGGTTAGAGAAGAGTGAAATCTATTTTCCGGCTTTCGTTTTTAGATTCAATTTGGAAAAAACATTGTATCAAACATGACAGGTAGATTACCTGCGTGTGTCATTGACGTGGGGACTGGGTAAGTCGCACCATTTCACTTAAAACCCTCTCAGTGCAGTCGGCTTTTAGTATCTTACCCTATATACCAAAACGTTATCTTCTGTATTTTTACGCGACGTGTAGAATTACTTGTTTTATTTCTGTGGTTTTTTCAATTTTTCTGCACTGTCAGTCAAATATTCTCACGTCTAAATTGGTAATATTATGTGTATTGGAACCTATTGATGTTAGGTTATGCTCTTATCGCCCGTATCCGCCCACCCATTGATAAGTCAGTTTTTCGTTACGTTGACACCTAAAAAAAATATTGGTTTTCGTAACTTCTGCGTGATGTCTTTTCTATATAATGTCCTATGTCTCACTGTGACAGTCACTTATTTACATCTTATTGTCACACCCTTGACATTGTTTGTCTTATACATTCAATACTTATTTTAAATTATTTTTGAATTGTTTTTTTCTTTCTTTCTTATTAAAATTGTGACAAAGCATAACTTTTTATGTACCATGGCTTTTTTTAACACAATCTGCAATTCTGTGGTCAATTTGTACTCTTAAACACTGTTTTATTTCACCAGGTACACTAAACTTGGGTTTGCCCCTAATAAAGAACCTCAGTTCATCATACCATCAGCAATTGCCATCAGAGAGTCTGCAAAAGTCGGAGACCAAGCTATTCGTAGATTAGCTAAGGGAGTTGAAGATTTGGACTTCTTCATTGGCGATGAAGCATTCGATGCCACAGGCTATGCTGTTAAGGTGATAAAGAGTTTGAATTTCATTTTAACCTAATATCTGATGATTATGTGAGTAATCTAATGTCCTGCTCTTCAAAAATTTCAGTACCCTGTAAGACATGGACTGGTTGAAGATTGGAATCTTATGGAAAGGTTCCTGGAACAATGTATTTTCAAGTATTTACGGGCTGAACCAGAAGATCACCATTTCTTGCTCACTGAGCCCCCATTAAACACTCCTGAAAACCGAGAATACCTTGCTGGTGTGTATTTCTCTTAAAAATGACTGGAATTTACCCTATCATTAATTTAGAAAGCACGTTGGTTATGTCAAATGTTCCTTCTCTACTTTTCAGAAATAATGTTTGAGTCATTCAATGTGCCAGGGCTGTACATAGCAGTACAGGCTGTTTTAGCTCTTGCTGCTTCATGGGCTTCTAGACCCATTGAAGAAAGGACATTGACGGGCATTGTGGTTGACAGTGGTGACGGTGTTACCCATGTCATTCCTGTGGTATGTTCCTTACAAATGAAACATTTCATCAGTTATCTTGTTGGTTCATGTTGCAGCCATTTTTGAATGTATGTTCTGTTCCAGGCTGAAGGCTATGTGATTGGAAGCTGCATCAAGCATATTCCCATCGCAGGACGGGACATTACTTACTTCATTCAGTCACTGCTCAGAGAAAGAGAAGTTGGAATCCCACCAGAACAGTCCTTGGAAACTGCTAAGGCAATTAAAGAACGACACTGTTACATTTGCCCTGATATTGCTAAGGAATTTGCTAAGTATGATTCAGACCCTTCAAAGTGGATGAGGAAGTACAAAGGTGTTAACTCTGTAACCAAGCAACCTTTCTCAGTGGACGTCGGTTATGAAAGGTTTCTTGGACCTGAAATATTCTTCCATCCTGAGGTAAGTAGTCTGTTAACCGTCTGTGTACTGAAACACTCCTTGGAAAAACCACTCATTGGAATGAATTTTAAACTATTTTCCTTACAGTTTTCAAATCCTGATTTTACTGTACCTCTTTCTGAGACTGTGGACCAAGTTATTCAGAACTGCCCTATTGATGTCAGAAGGCCTTTGTACAACAATATTGTGCTATCAGGAGGTTCAACTATGTTCAGAGATTTTGGTAGAAGGCTCCAGAGAGATATTAAACGCAATGTAGATGCGCGATTGAAACTAAGTGAGAGCCTTAGTGGAGGACGTATTACAGTAAGTTGAGTTTTGAAAGTATCAGGTTCTGACTTTTTCTGAGTAATGCATGAATAACACTCTGATGTTTTCCTTTCAGCCTAAGCCTATAGATGTTAATGTTGTAACGCATCATATGCAACGTTATGCTGTTTGGTTTGGAGGAAGCATGCTTGCATCTACGGTAAGAATTTTATCCTATTTAGTTATTTTGCTTCCAATGAGTCTCCCCCTCTAAGGTGGCAATCATTTAATGTTATAAACATTTCTTTTTCAGCCGGAATATTATGAAGTATGCCACACGAAAGCTGATTACCAAGAGTATGGACCAAGCATATGTCGCCACAATCCTGTCCTTGGAACAATGACTTAGTTTTTTTTTTTTGCCCTCTCACAAAGCTGCAATGTGAGCTAGGTTTTGTACTCCATTTAGACTTACAACTGAATGTTTAACTTGCAATAGAATACTGAGAAATGTGATATGTGATTAAATTTGGGTCTCTTGCATTTTTCCCTTCATTGGTCAATAATTATTCTTGTTTTTATTTCTCATTTAGCTTGTATGTTACGCTCAAATGTTTATAAATTTCAAGGGGTTTATAAATCAATTTTTGTACTAGTAACATAACTGTTTTCATCTCTTGTGGACTGTTTATTCAGGACAAGGAGATGCTTTGTTATTTAATGTAATTTTAGAAATCCTTAAAAGAAAGTATGCAAAAATTGTTGTATAAGCCTTGCTGTGGTGAGAGTGTTTAGGGATCAGGGAACATGTGAGTAAATCAGCATCCTCTATCAACCAAGTTGGGTTTCCTGTAAAATTGATGTACTATTTTTGTTTTGTTCAGGATTCTTTAAAAAATTGATAGCCTTGTTTTTCTTGTCATTAAGTAAATAGTAAAGGTTCCAAACCTAATTGTGGTATCCTTTTTTCTTTTAACACCATCATATTTTATTTTTGACACTGAAACCCAAAGGTTGCATTCATGTTATTTTGAAATTCATTGTTGTTTGCAGACTTTTCTTGGTTGCAGACTTAATTGCCGGGATCAGAAATGAAAAAGGGAATGGAGAAATTACGTGGTTAACAAGGTTGACAAGTTTGATGGTTTTCAAATCAACTGTATGTCAAGCCATCTGTTGTAAATTTTTTGATCTCTGAATTTTTTTAAAATTTTAGACGTGTTTCATCATCTATCTGTTCCAAATGTGTACTTTTGATAGATATTCTGATCAAATCCAGGCATATACTGTGTTAGTTAACAATCAGTATTATTTCCCCTCCCTGCCTGAGTTGCTTGGACCCACTTTAAATTAAACTTCAATTGTAAATTTTTTTATCAGTGTTTTAAGTGTAATAACTCACAGCTCTTTTGACCGATCTAATTTTCAGATGCCTCTGAAAATTAAGATGTGTTGTATACATGTAGTATACATCTGTTCGTCCACTTAATTAATGTTATTGTGGCCCCTTTTAACCCAACTCTTTCTTTCCTGTGTACCAATTCCAAGATAGTTTTAATTATTATTATGGACTTCATTGCCTGCATTGCTGCTATTTTAAAGAAATAAGTAGCATGGTTTCATTGCAGGAAATCACTTATTGTATACAGATTAATCCCTCCCATCAAAGGATGATTAATTTAGATCATGACTTGACAATAGCTTTGATCTATGAGAAGGAAAGGTAATGTATCAACTGATAAGCCAGATATTTTTCCTACAAGTCTCATGAGGGTCTTTTTATTCCTTCTATTGTCATTATGAAGAACTTGATGTTGAGTTCTGGATTGATGTCAGTTCATTGGATTGTGTAGCTGAAGCAGATTAGTGGAAAGTGTGTTATGGTCATTTGATACCAGTGTAGCAGTAATGTTTCTGTTTGTGTTTTATGCTGGTGTTGGATTGGCAACTGCAGACTAACCAGTTATGAATAACCCTAATCAGATTTGTGGGTAAGGGTAACTTGACTGGCTCATAGTTGATATGTGTCAAATTTGTCAGACTATGTGTAATTTAGAAGTTGATGCTTTTATTTCTGGTTGCTCTGTACAGCCAATGTTCAAATATGCATTTTATGGAAGTAACCATTTTCAATTAAAGATTTATATACAAACATTCTTGAGTCCTCCTTTTTGTTCCCCTCGCCCTTCATGGAGTGTCACCACGCGATGACACGCAGGTGCGGATCCAGGGCTTTCCTTAGGGGGGGGAAATAAAACGGTGCCGTTTGCCTATTAACTGGCAAAGTAGTGCTTGTTGCCTACCTTCCAGGCGGCCTACCTAGTTAGAGGGGGGGGGGGGTGTAACTACCCCCATTACCTTTCCCCCAGGTCCGCGCCAGGCGACACGATAGTTGCCGACCCTCGGACAGGGAGAATGACGACAGGAAATGAGTAACTTGACGAACGCCCCATTATAAAGTTGCCTGGTTGTCAACAACCCGCAGAGCACAGTCGGGTCGAGGTAAGCTGGCCCGAGTAGAGGCGCCCAGGGAGAGGGTCGCACAGCCGAGCGATTCGGGACAGCGGTTCGTCGCGTTGTCTCCCTCGCACCCTTATGGAGAGCCCCGCCAGTGCGACAGAGACAGCGACGAAACGACTCCTCTGAATGGCGCGGCAGGCAGGCCAGGCAAGCGGGCCGGCGGCGCTGAAAGCAGCTGAACGCCGCGCTCGGGCTAGCTCGGGCCGGTCGCACCTTGCGCTTTGGCGCAGTGGCGTGGCGGGGCGGGGCGGGGCGGGGCACAAGACGTGCCGATGCAGTCGTAATGGTGCTTTTCCCCGTCCCTTCGGGTTCCTTCCGTGTCTGCGGCCGAGGGCAGCCGAGGGCAGCGCCGCCCGGGCCTCCCTGCGCGGGCAGCACGCTGACTCCGAGAGTCGTTCTCGTCGCTCTGTCTCTCTCGCTCTCAAAGAGCGTCTCCCTGTAGGCGTGAGAGAGACAAAGCGACGAAAAGGACTCTCGGAACCAGTCTGCAGCCCCTGGCTTGGCGTGTTCCATCCCCCAAGCCTCCCTGGTCCCCTCCGGTCCCCTCCCCTCCTCAGGCTCGGCAGTTTGGGAAACCGCGAACCAGTCGCAGAGGTGTGGCGTGGAGTAACCCTGTCTGCGGCGGTGGCAAGCAGTGGCAAGTTGTCCATTAAAAGAAGGCGGCCCGATAGCGGCGGAGGGTCGGGCGTCGGCGCTCCCAGGCTGCCGCGGCCACGGCCTCGGCCTCGTCCTCCAGGGCGGCGTCCTGGGCGTTCTCCAGGGCGTCATCCAGGGCGTCCTCCAGTTGGAGGAGCGGGTGGGCGAGCGTGGAGCACCACACGGCGCGTGCTGAGAGTTCGCTGGCAAGCGAGAGTGATCCACACTTGAGACCAGCCAGAGCCAGCGCGAGTCGCCGCAGCACAAGCCGGCGTCCTGGAGCCTCCACTCGAGGGAAGTCCCCGAGAGCAGCGGCCCTCCTCAGCCCATAGGTGAGTGCGTGGGCGTTGTCAGGGAATTCCAAAACGGGCGCGGATCCAGGATTTTCCGTAGGTGGGGGTAATCCAGCGCGGTGTGCCTAGTCGCACGGGCAGTGCTGTTTGCCTTCTTTCCAGTAAAGGCCTATTTAGAGCCCAAGTGACTAAATTACTCTCTGTACACCCCCTCCCTAGATCCGCACCTATCCCAAAACAGCATCAGACCAATCTGGTCTCGCCGCGCCGACGCGAAGTGCGTATGCCGTCAGGAAATTCCGTGTGTATGAGCGGCCAGGGAGTGCCAAAGTGGCACGAAAAGCTTTCCGTTCGCCGAGCGGGCAGATACAGCGCTCTTTGAAATGGAGTTTTTCTCTTGTCCAAGTCCAAGCACACTCCTACAGAAGTGCAAGAGCCAAATCACTGTCGTAGCACACTCATTGCAAGCCTATTTGTCAAGTACACTCCTATAGTCTTGTGCACAGGCTGGCAGAGTACGATATCCTAAGGGCTAACTAACTTGTGAAAATTTGTTGTCACTTTTGTGACAAAGTCGCGGATGATATTTTCATCACTTTCAAATGATGACAATCTCATTGATGACATTGATGACAATTGGTAACATTTTATTGCATGGGTGTGACAACAATGTCATCAATTGTTTTGATGACATCCTTTGTCATCAAGTGACGACCCAAATTTCTCTCTATCGTCTTGCATTGTTGTTGCGGGCAGACACAAGTAGTCTAGACTTCCCTCGATTCCAAAGAAGGCCCCCAAAGCAGGCCGTCACCCGGTGCTCCCCTCCCTTCCCTTCCTCCTCGACGACACGGCTTCATCCCCCTCCCCCTCCCTGGAGCCACTTACAGTGGCGGGACTGAGGCCTTCCGCCCTCCGCCGCCCAATCCCATTTCGCGACGCCAAGTGAGGCGCCAGCAGACTGATTCCGAGAGTCGCTTTCGTCGCCCTGTCTCTCTCGCACCTAAACAGGACGCCCCGCGAGTGCGAGAGAGACAGGGCGACGAAAACGGCTTTCGGAATCAGCCTGCAGCTGGCTGATTCCGAACACGGATTTCATCGCTGTCTCTCTCGCACTCATGGTGTGTCCAAAGGGGGAGCGAGAGAGACAGCGATGAGGCACTGTTCGGAATCGCCCTGGAGGGAATCTGCGAGACGTTTTCGTCGCTCTGTCTCTCACGCACCCACAGGGAACGCCCTATTTGTGCGAGAGTGACAGGCCGGTGAAAACGTCCTTCGGAATCAGTCTGCCGGGGCGAGGTGGGGCGAGGTGGGGCGAGGTGGGGCGAGGTGGGGCGAGGTGGGGCGGTGTCTTGGTTGGGCGGGGAGCGTCTCCGCGTCCGCTCCGCGTGCGGCGCGGGGCCACCATGGCGCCACCCTTCCTCACGCGGCGCGGCATCATCCGCCGCGGCGAAGGCGAATTGGGATGTCCAAACGGAAACTGAAGCCTGAAGCTGACGTGCAGGCGCCATGTGTGGAGGTAGGTGGGGGCTGGGGCACAGTGGGCCAGAAGACCGATGGAGGCGGCCAAAACTCTAGACGCGTTTTGAGCTCCAGAGTCGAACTAGGACTCGAACCGAACGTGTGACCCCACCAATGGATTGCTCTCCGAACGAGAAATCCATTGGTGGGGTCGCACGTTCGGTTCGAGACTTGTTTAGCGACTCTGGAGCTCAAAACGCGTCCAGAGTTTTGACCGCCTCTACGGGTCTTCTGGCCCACTGTGCGGTGTCTTGGTGGGGGCGCGCCGCGCGGCGCCCGGGCGGTGGGCGTGGCGAGGAAGTGACACTCCGTGGGGGTCTTGGCGGCGATTAGACGCCGCACGGGGGATGGCTGGGGCCCCGGTAAACTGATCCCGCGCAGTGCGGCCGTCGGCCTGTCTCTCTCGCACCGGCACGCCGGCGGCACGCAGCGCCCCATGAGTGCGAGAGAGAGAGACGTCCACTCGGAATCAGCCTGCAGGGACGGAGCGACGCGGGGCTTGGTGGGGCGGGGCGGGTGGCGGTGGCGGGACGGCCTGCGTTATTGTCGCCTGGCGTGACGGCACGGCGGGGCGGGGCGAGGTGCCCTGCGCCCCGGCCTGGCCCCCGGCCTGGCCCTCGGCACCGCCGTGGCCATAAGTGCCCCGCCAGGTCGCCGCCAGGTCGGTGCCGGAGTCCCGGAGGAGTGCGTGGCGCGTGGCGGCCGCGCTGGGGTCGCGGACTCGCCCCCTCGGCGTGACGGCGATGCGGCCGCCGCCGTCGAGGCCCCCGTTGCCGTTCCCGCGGTTCGGCGTCGTCGTCGCGGCCCTGCCGGCCCTGCCGCACCGCGCGCCGCCGCCCCGTGTCGCGCCGCCGCCTCGCGTGGCCACGTACCGCGTCGTGCCCCACCGCCTCCACGACGTGCGCGCGGACGTGCGCGTCGTGCACGCCGACCCCCGTTCGTCTTCGTGTGCGCGGCGCCGGCGACGGCCGCGCCACTGATTGGGACGCCGAGGACTCGCCGCGGCAACCACCATGAGCAAGGACGCCGCCGTCGGCTTTGCCGACGTGTGCGGCATCATGGACACGTGCATCGACGCCTGGGCAAGTACACTGTAGAGTACGACAGGGGCGAGTACACTGTTTAGTACTACTGGGGCGAGTACACTGTAGAGTACTACTACAGGGGCGAGTACGAAGACTTCAAACATTGAGGCACTCGTAAGTTGTTTCAGCTTCTGTCTCATGGACAGCAGCGTTCGAACTCGCGTTCGAATACTCGCAGCCAGCTCAGCCTGAAAAATGTGACAAAACGGGGCCATGGTCCAGCCTCCTGCTTACCAGGAAAATAGCATAAATTTAATGCAAAATTTTTAGAGTTTTGGAAATTGATCACCGGTTTGTGGATCGGCGGCCGTGCGCTGTTTTCGACCCCCAGTGGTTGCTGCCCGTAGAGTCTAGGACAGTTACGTGTCCGGGGTTGTTCAGGCTTCAAAAGGTCGGACTTTCCAGAACCTGTGGAGCCTGGCGAAAACATAGCTCATGAGAGTCGAACGCCGGTGGTGGTGGACGATGGCCCTTGGCTTTACAGGCCAACATACAGTTTGTGCGTGGTTCATGGTTCATGCCACTGTTCCCTCGAGTTTCCTTTAGCCCCCCGCTGCGCTCCGTTCAAAACACTACAGCCCCTCCCCCGTGCTTCGCGCTCACTGCATAAATCCCGTCACTGTAAAAACCCTCGCGACGACCGGATGGATGTCTCGCCCGGTGCGCGATGCGCGCGATGCGACACCCTTCGCTTCGCGCGGCAGGCCGATGCCGAACGTGCAAGTCGCTGTCTCTCTCGCACTCACGGGGCGTCCCGGAAGGGTGCGAGAAGGACAGAGCGGCGGCTCGGCGGCGCCCCGCTGCGGGTCGCGTGTCCGGGCGACATTGGCTCCGGCGTCCTGCAGCACGGCCTGCTCGGCCTGCTCCGGCAGCGCGGTGAAGGGCCCTCGCCAGCGGCAAGCCAGAGGCAAGCCAGAGGCAAGCCAGAGGCAAGCCAGAGGCAAGCCAGAGGCAAGCCAGAGGCAAGCCAGAGGCAAGCCAGCGGCAAGCCAGAGGCAAGCCAGAGGCAAGCCAGAGGCAAGCCAGAGGCAAGCCAGAGGCAAGCCAGAGGCAAGCCAGCGGCAAGCCAGAGGCAAGCCAGAGGCCCGGGAAGGATT